GTGAAGTATCAGCAGATTTTTGAGGCTGTAATAAGCTAAATAAATAAATTGGTCTAATTGTGTTTTAGTTACAGAGCACATTATTAAAGGAAATATTGTGTATCCTATTGTTTTGGCAATTCTGCAATGAAATAAATACTAAAGGAAATTATTTGGAGTATTTTATAAATATTTTCCTTCAACACATGCTCTCTCACTCACTGCCTCTCTCTTACATCAATATTCTCTGTGTCATTGTTGTTTAATCTGTGTAATCTCTGCTTATAAATAAATAAATCCTGGGAATATTTCTTTCACTTTCATAAGTCTTTTTGAAAAATATTGCAGAATTTTTATCTTAAAAATAAGTTTTATGTGCTTTAGATTAACACCTATTTTTTTTTAGTACTAATTTAGTACATTTTTCAGAAGTTAACTGCAGTGATTTGGAGCAGCATTAATTTGCCAATCCTTTCAGTCTCTGAATGAATTCTTAAGGCTTGGTTTGTGAAGGAATTTAGGAATCTGTAAAGCATAAGGAAAAAGAGCACTTATTCAAATGTTATGCCAGTTTAGTTCTGCATCTAGGCAAAACTTGAATTCTCAGATTTAATCCAGATTTAATATATCAGTAACTATATTCTTACCCTGGAATTTCTCCCTCTGCACCCCCCTCCATCCCCTTCCCCCTCCACTAATGGTATTGGACACTCAGGGTTCTGGTTTTTGTTTGTTTTTTTATTCTTGAGTCTCTTCTGCAAAACAATACCTTAGGCCACCATCTGCTCTCAACAAACCTTTCAGCTGCATCTCCAGTTCTTCTTAACCACAGGTTTATTTCTACTCTACTTAATGATTATTATGATTTTTTTTGTTCTGTAGAATTTTCAACAAATTCTATACTATTTTGCAAGGCAATTATATAATAGGCTACAATAGAAAGCAATGTAAATATGATTTCTGTTGAAGGTATTTACCTTTCTGAAGATCTGTGGAATTGTACAATTACATAGGGAATTATCTGGGAGTTCTGGGAAACAACTTGAGACACATGAGTAAAGAAAATTTTGAAATTCAAAATAAATTGACTTTATTGATAAAAAAAGTTTCTGATGTTTCTTGTGCCTAAAAGATTTTTACTTCAAGGACACAACTAGATAATTTTGTCTGAGGCAGAAAACTACTGTTTTCATAACTTCTTTTAAGTGAGTATAGTTGCATTTTTTTTATTGTACTTTGCATTTGCTTTATTCATCTGAGAATCCTGCAGTGCTGTATCAGGGTGACAAGATCCTTTCAAAAGAGAACAATCTGAGAATCTCAAGACACATGACTCTTTTAACTTATTAGCAGTTAGATTTCAGTTTTCAGTCCAGGTTCACTTTAACCAATCCTCCTCTTATTACCAAGAGACAGCAAATCAGCTAGCTATAAGACCTGTGGCAGTTGCTGGTTGATTGGAATGATAGGCAGATTGCTGGCTCAGGAAAAGTGCAGTATCATGCTTCAGTCTGGATGACTTGTCAGAAATGAAAATCAAGTGTCACAGCATCTTCCTGTAACCTAATTAAGGTTACAGGAAACATATCAGCCAGAACTGCTTCATTTCACTTCAGTGCATGAAATCCATTGTACTGTGAGGCTGTGTCATTAGCTAAATCACCATGGAAAATCAATATAAATATTGGCTACCCTCAGTAGTGCTGAGACACAAATTCGAACTCTTGTTGCTGAAATCCTATAGTCTCTTATTACAGATTTCATATAATCAGGATCAAAACTTTCATGCTAAGGAATCAAGCTCTGCTGACGGTCATTTGGCTTTCACACCCAAGCCTCTTGCTTGATTCTAGAACACTTTGTTTTTTTCTGAGAACTGTGGTTGGAGATAAACAGCCCATCTTTGCTGCTTTGCTCAACTGACAGATGAGAACTGCTGATGAATAATTCCAGGGGAGTTAGAGAAAAATATATAATAAGCTTGGTGTTGGGATCTTCTTGTTAATGGAAAGATAGACTTGAGACAATGTAATTTCCATCACGGAAAACTCCCCTAGTAAGTTTTGGGAGACTCAGTTAATTACAAGTGTTTCACAGATTTAAACCAGTTTGGGAAGTGGGATTTGATAGACTGAGAGAGTTCTGTGTAAGGTTTCTGATGTCATTGCTTGTGGCTTTTTAATTTTATTTGTTTTGAGGGGGTTTTGTTTATTTTGAAGTGAAGATTTACAGAATGTGAAAAATACCTTTTTTGAAAAGGCATATGACTATTTTGGCATTTCTTTGGTATCACCTGCTCCTGCAACAGTTCTTTCTACTTTCATGTAAGTGACTCTGTGCACTTTCTGGTATCTCGAGCATTAAGCAGACTTTTTACATTATTTTTTCTCAATGAGAGACTGAGATAGATAATTTTGACTCAAACATCTTGTAGTGGTTGGTTTTAAACAGAAAGAGGATTGAAAGGATTGTCAGTCAACTCTTTTAAATGTTATCAACAGTTTTTTAAATGTACATGTTAAATATAGTGTCCAGGCAAAATCTTCAGCTTCAAGCATTCTCAGAAGGAAATTATTTTGTTTTAAAATAGCCACACATGGAAATGTAGTAAAGCATTTTTACAAGTTAGTAATAACCAGGAACATGATGAAGAGTGGACTTAAGCCAAACCACAAATAAGTTCTCCATTCATTACAGTGGCACAATGATTAATAGCTTCTTCAATTTCACACTGTCTTATACCACATTTACAATATACAGAATGTATGTTATATACATTAGACATTGTATATTCCTTCTACTTGTTTTTTTCTCCTCTGAAGTTTCCTGCTGTTATTGCTACCAGTGTTTCAGTATTTAATATGCATTTAACAGACTTTTTTCCTGTAGTATTCCTATTAGATGAGAATGGTCTTAATTTCAAAGTATAAAAGGTCTTGGGATACTTTAGGGACATATTGTACTTACACATCTTTTTTGAATTATTCTTTCATTTGGGATTTTGAAAACAGATGCCTCTCTCCTTTCTAAGGAATAAATCACAGTTATTGTGGCAGGTTTTGATTTTTTTCCTGTCTTATCAATTTGATTTCAATATATGTACCTTGAAACATCTTTGGGGTTTTTAAAATTATCATTAAAAATAAAAACCTAAATTCAAAAGCTTGTAAGATCTTTATAACCATTTCAAAGGAGTTCTGTTTTGACCATCAGAAACTCCAGTCTCATCTGAAAACTAGGGCCAACAGATGACAAATAATTTTTAGTTGGAACACCAGCTCTTTCTGGAACACAGTGTGTTTGCTTTTAAACTCCAGCTTGGTGACTTGGCTGAGTTGACATTTCTTTCAGCAATACCAGTGCTCCAAATTTACAGTTTTATGTAATTCACTTCTTTGCAATGAACCATGTATGTCAGGGTTTTTCCTCCTCTTCTTTTCCTCTTTTACTGAGGTAAAAAGAAAAGGAAAGCATGTTCTATGTATTTATGCAATATATTAATACATGTAGGTTCTTCCTTGGAATAGGAATAAAATGCAGCATTCCAAGAATGCTGTAGATCATTATTTGATGATGTGATATATTAGTGTAATGAAGACTAATAAATTTCCTACTGAAGATTTTCTGGTTATGAATCAAATCATGCAGAACAGTGATGAAGCATAACAGTAAAATTCTTCAGATGTAGGTGGAATGTTCTTGCAAGCAGAATCTCATCCTGACCCTGGGGATGTGGGAAGAGGAAGAGGTTTTAGATTGATACTTTAGATCATTGAAATTTTGGGTGATCAGATTGTAGAACAGCTACCAGGTGAATATATTTGCTAGTAAAACAATTGGGAAGGCTTATTTGGTGTTTACCCACTTGAGTTCCTGCAGAGTTGCTGTTGTGACACCTGGCCAAAGGTGTGGGGGTTCCAGGCACAGCCATGGGCACAGCAAGGGAAGGGGACTGACCTTTAACCAGTGTAGACAGGAACACTGATGGCACAGCAATACCATTTGTAATTTGTGTTGGTAAGGAGGAAATGCTGTAACTGTTCACAACAGAACATGAATTTCTCCCTGCTTCACTGAAAACTGAAGAGGTGTTTTGAAGCCCATGTACATGGGCTCTTTTGGGGAGGGATAAGGCAAAAAAATAAGAGTGTTTCCACCACTGAAATGCACATTTCTATAAAAAAACAGTTTCTACTGATTCATGTGAGTGCAGACTGTTCTGCAAGAGGCAGGGTCACTTAGTTTCAATGTGCTGTGTCATTGCTTACAGAACTCTGCTGAAATATCCATAGTTCTCACAGGCCCTCCCTAGTTCAAGGGTAGACATTGTACATTGTAAAGAGAATAATTACAGCAACCCAATTTCAGTGATTTCTTACTGGGGTGTTCAGTCTGTGAAACTGCAGAATAAGAAAAATCCAGATTTTTCTGGATCCTAATGTGCTGTCTGAATTGTGACCCTGAAGTAACCAGAGTTACTTCATCTATAAAATTAAGAGTGTAAGAACCTCAAAAAATTTCCATTGGTTTCAGTGCCCAGGGGAAAGTTAACAGACTTTGAGGAGATTTTAATTTAGGGAAGTCTTTGGGTGGTGACTGCAACTTCAGAGACAGAAGATTTGATTCAGATCTCTGTTGAATACAGTGGAGACCTTGAAATTAAATTTGGATCTGTGAATGTTCCTATTTCCTAGAACTCCCAGGCTTTTCAAGTGCTACAGAAATTGCAGGCTGTGAAATGTCTATAATTTTTAAAATTTTATTTTTAAATATTGAAATGAGAACTTCCAAGTCATTCGTAAAATGCAAATACCCCATCTTCTTTGTGTTCTCACTGCTTTTATTAAGTGTATACAAGATGTTCAGTACTGTAAAAATAAATAAATCTATTTATGGAAATTCTGCACAGAAATCTTTGCCTTTAGGAACAGTTACAATGAATACATGTGTATTTGCATTGTCACTTTTGTGCATATGTATGCCATCTGTTTCAATGCAAACTTTGTTTTTTCTAATCACAGGACTATACCTTGACAATGTACTTCCAGCAAGCGTGGAGGGATAAGAGGCTGTCCTATAATGTAATACCTCTAAACCTTACTCTGGACAACAGAGTAGCTGATCAGCTCTGGGTGCCTGATACCTATTTCCTGAATGACAAGAAGTCATTTGTTCATGGTGTCACTGTGAAGAACAGAATGATTCGTTTGCATCCAGATGGAACAGTCCTTTATGGACTCAGGTCAGTATGAACCATTTCTAACTCTTCTGTCTCTTAATTTAAAACCATGATTAAAAAGCTAAAATGAAAAATAATTTCTTGCTCCTTTTTTTTTTTTTCAATGATTTTCTTTTTATTGCTGTATTCTATAGAACTGGTGATATTAGAGAAAAAAAAAAACAAGTGTTCTAAAGTTGTACTCTAAATCTAAGGATTTTTTTTTTAATACAAATTTTTGAGATAAACTGCCATTTTTAGTACAGTTCAGGGACTTGTATTAAGAACAAATAAGACAGTAAATATTACTTGAAATACTCATTCTGGATTAAAACCCTGGTTTAGAGCTGCTTCTTCAAAGGAATTGAAATATAAAACACAAAATGAGGATTAGAGGAAAAAACAAAAAATGTATATGACAGCTGAACTGATAGTTTAACTGATATGTTTTAAAAATACTTTCGATTGAATATTAGATTGGTTTGTATGCTAGGCAGATGAATCAGCTTTCTGATTTTCACTAAGATGAGGTATGACTTGCAATGTTTTACAGCCTGTTGTTCTGTACGGACAGGGTGACTGGAGAAATCAGCAAAGGGGCTTCACTCTTGAGAAGTTCTAAAAACTTTGGGAATTGTTTGTTTAGTAATATTAATTAGGAATTACTAATGAATTAGTAATAAATAATTGCTGGGAAATTGATTTAAAATATAGCTGCAAAAGGTGACTGACAGTGCCATGTGGGTAGGTAAACATCAGGAAAGCATTGTCTAGGTTAAGAACAGAAAACGCTGCAGAGCTGGGTGTTGTGTTTGCCAATGTTTGTTGTGTCCAGTTGTGTTTCCTGTGGGAGCAGTTCAGGCTCTGGCACTATGGCTGGGAGCAAGTCTGGAGTTTTTGTGGTTGTTCAGTGAACCAACAGATACATGGTTCCTTGAAATGCAGTTGTAGTTTAAAGTGAAATATAAACCAACTACATAACACACATTAATGGAGTGAGAGCGAGCATAACAATGGTCTTGGTGTAGTTTTCAATTAAAGATTCTGAAATTAAAATCTTTATTATTAACTTCTAGAACAAATTAGAAATAAATATCAGATTTAATGTCTTCAGTAATGCTAACTTTTTTTCTATTTGTGGCTTTTTTTATTCTGACTACTTAACCATCTGTAATAATTTCTATTGTTTTAAAAGGTTGGTATACAGTAAGAAGAGCTCACAAAAAATTGTCCATAGAAGAATCAAATAAAAGAAAGTTTTGTTTTCTGGGAGTTTTCATTTTGATGTTGATTTGTTTTTCAGAAATTTTTGAACCTTTCATGAAATATACTTCATTTAAGGTTTTGAGGGTTTTGTTTTTTGTTTTTTTTTTGAGCTGAACCAGTGTTGGTACTGTTTCATTGTTTTGGTGAAACTTTTCCTCCCTTTCATTCAGCATAAATAGCAAATCACTTTTAGTGTGTTTTATAAGATGCAATAAAGTGAAATGATGTCTATTTTTCACTTAAAGCTGTTTAATGTAATTAGAGGAATCATTATTAATGCTTTGAGCCTTTTTTCCCCGAGTTCTTTTCTTCAATACTTGCAATCACAATATGTTACCCAAAATGGTTTTAGAATAATTCTAAAATGGGAATTTTTTTTCTATTGTAGGACTTGTGCACAGCCCAGAGTTAAAGGTATTTAGACAGCTTTTTTTCCTAGATAAGAGATGTCACTTTAGGAAATAATTTTCCAGTATTCTGGTATACCTAGCAGTCTCACATTTGAGATTATCAATTCTTACATCTCTTTTAAGACGGGGTGCATTTCAAGCGTTCTCTTTGCCTTGAGAGCTGAAGATGAATGAGGGATGTGAATTCTGCTGGTTTTCTCTTGCTGTGCTGCAATGAATTGTAACCAAGGACAGGGGCAGGATGGCTGTCAGAGCCAGCACTGTGACTGGGGACTGCAATTGCCTTCACTCCTGTGGCAACTGTGTACCTGAAGAGCTCAGAGGTGAAGGACACCACTGGTTCTTTTGTGTTCTGGGCTAGAGACTATGGAACATAACAGATACCTAATAGATGACATGGTAAGAAAATACATGTCCTAATTCTTAATGAACCACAGACAAGTCTTGTGAAATGTAGAATTGGTTCCCCCTCCTCAGACTCGGGTCAGTAGGTCTTGGGCTTTCTGGCTAAAATGTCTTCCAAACCCTGGGCTGGATGGGGAAGATGCACCAGTGGTAACACAACAGGATTACTGGCCATATTCTGCTTTTGCCTTCCCTGGACCAAGCGGCAATCAGTGATCTCATTCTAATAGTAAGGTTTTAGTTTTATACCTTTAAGTAGCTTTATCTATTTCATCTAAATTCAACTCAGAGTTTTTGTTATTTCAAGTGTCCACAGTACCGATATATTTAATTCTTGCTTATTCGTAATTTCCACATCTTAAAAATGCCTGCTGAGTTGTATTTCTCACATATCTCAAACTCCCTGTACATTATTATTCTGAAAATCACTACTGTTGTCGCTGTATTAATTTACTTTAGCTGATACTTGCAGTCACATATTCTTACTTTGGGATTAATTTTTCCAAACTGAGATTCCTTTAAATATCAGTCTGAATTTTTTACCTCCCCATATACCTACTTAAAAACATCATTACATACACACAAATGTTGCTGTGAATTTGGTTGCATTTATCTTGATTGAACCAAATTTGATTTACCAAATTAATTGAACTACAAGTGGTCTCATCAGTATAAATGTAACCATCCCTTTCTTTTGTGTCCCTATAGTTGAATTTCTGCTTCATACAGCAAGCAGTGAACCCTTAACATTGTTCTCTGTTTTTGTGAGCAGAGATGTGACATGCATGGTGTGCATGTCACATCTGATTAGATTTGACATTGGGAAGGTAAATTTCAGGAAGGAGTAAGAGGCAGTTTTGTGAGCACCTGGATTATGCTGTCACTGAAAGAGGGGATAGAAGGAGGGGAAAAAAGAGAAATGGCTAATAATGAGTGGAGCCATCTAAATGATTGGTATGTTGTCCTCCTAGCCTGCCTTCTTCACTGCAACAGGGCATTAGTTAAAGGCATAACTGAATTCTTGACTTTTTTTTACAGAGAATAGGACATGCTGGTTGTTTTTCAGTTAAGAAGGACTTTTATTCCTCAGGGATAACTGCCAGCTGTTTATGTTTTGGAAACATGTTTTATTTCATATCTTTTTCATATTCCATCTGACAAGAAAATTATTCATTGCTGCCAAGACCAGGACATTCAATAGTATCACCTAAATGGTAGAAAATTGTAAACATGTAGTCTTAAATGAAGAGTCATTACAGGGAAAATTACTATGTTGGAAATTAAGATGACTTGCAAGAGGATATTAGTGATTTGTCAACATTTAGAAAATTAAATTTAGGCATTCAAATCTAGGATAGCAAATAATTTACATTGGGTTGAGTAAAGCTTGAATAAATATGCAGTCAGAAATGAGGAAAAGATACAGTTTTAACTGAATTTCTCTGTGTTAAAATATCTGGTTTATAAAATACATGTAGCAGAAATGGGTGCTACAGTAGATGAGATTTGTTATTTCTTATATTTATTTTTGCATATCTATCTATCTGTCTATCTATCTATCTATCTATCTATCTATCTATCTATCTATCTATCTATCTATCTATTTTCCCCTGACTTTTGACATCAAACATGTTCTAAAATGTGGATGAAAAATTCAGCTCTCTTCTGCTTTATTCTGTGTAACCCTGGGGAAGAATCACTTCTCCAGTTGTTGCAGCCTCTGAAAGCACCAAGTTTTTGGAACTTTTTTCCAGGGATGATAATGCAAGATTTGAGAATGGTGACAAGTAAGATCCTTCTATTAGCCAATTTAGAATTACTGCTTTCTGTATAACTACATTATAGTGTCTTTCTGGAACTTGCCTCTTTGCTGATAGAGTCTTGTGATGTCATGTGTCAGAGTAAGGGAGGAAATTTAGTTTAGACAAGAACTAAACACAGCTGAAGGTCAAGATGTTTTGTGTGGTTTTGCACCATTACCAGGCTGTTTACAGAGATATTGATTCTTGCATACACTTCTCCCAACGTTCCTCACAAGAGAGCTCTGTGACAGTGGGTAGAGAACTGATAATTACATGACCAAGAGCATTACATGGTTTTGTATCTCTTCAGTAGGATGGTTTTATGCTTTTTGTAAATGGGTGTTTTTTGCAGAAAAAATGGAATGCATAATGAACTCCTGATATGAACCATGTTCTGTAATGATGTTCCCATGTTTTTTAGCCAAAAGATAAACAAAAGGAAGAACAGAGGAGTTTTTTTTTCAGAAATTAAAGACTTTTCCCATTTGAAATCCCAACGGTTTTACTTGCCAAGATTCATCTTATGCATTACCAACTATGAATCTCCAAGTCAGCCAGCAATAATTCCTATTTGACTGATGGAACACAGTAATCTCCCACAAATGAGAGAATTATGTGTATGATGGCCTTGCTTTGTTCTCTATTTCCTGCTATCAGCATTGAGACACATGAATCTTAAACAGTCCTGGATGACTGTATTTTGTGTTGTCTCAGCTGTGCCTTCTGCTGTCCACTCAAGCAGTTTCAGCTGCTTGGAAATTTGCACTTCTGCAAGTAAAATAGGTTCTCTCATATTTTTTTCTGGTAAAACAGCACTGGGCATTTTTGTTGTATTATTAGCTGTGTTCAGGAATTTAACTCCTCACAGACAGCTTATTGTCTATGAAATCCAACGGAGAATTCTAAAAGCAATTGCTTTGCAAATAACTTTAGTTCTCAGACCGTATTCTTTGAGAGGTGAATTTTTCACACCAGCTACCCTTCAGTAAAGCATTTGATCTTTATTTTGCTATTTTTTCTTTTTTTCTGGTTTGGTGGGTTTTTTTGGGTTTTTTTTTTGGTTGGTTAGGTTTTATTTGGGGGGTGGAGAATGTTTTTGGGGGAGGTTGGTTTATTTTGGGGAGGTTTTTAGGGGGTGTTT